TGGCAGCCATCTTTTTGGGTGGCAAGCTTTCTCAGCCAACACAAGAGAGCTTTTTCTATCCCATATTAAGGGCTGATATAGGCCAGATAGGCTTGCACTTATCCAGAGTCGGGCAATCTGCCCTGGTCAGAAGTCTCCTCCTCCTCCCCAACATTCCCCAACATTTGGTGTGGGTTAAATTTTGGAAGAAATATGAGGATAAGGGTGGGGACAGGTTTGGGATGAGAGTTGCAAATAATTAGGGCAAGGGGCCATTTTCCTATTCCCATGCTTTATCAAATGCATCTTCTGTCTTTGTTTCAAGATCTTTCCTTCTCTTCTCATTACCAGAAAACTATCCTTACCTTCCTCAGTGGTAAGATGAGCTACTGTGAATCTGGAGGCCCTTCTCCTAGGATAAGCTTTGTCATGGTTCCCTGGAAGCTCCCCTCACTCTCAAACAAGGACCAGGGCACTTTTTCTGACTACAAAGACCTTGAATCAAGCGGCTACCTGTGGGGTACTGCATTCTGTCTTTGAGTCTGTGTGACAAGAGGTACCATTTACCAACTTGAGGCTCCTGTCTTTATGCCTAGTGACCTGAGTTCCTTGCTTGCAGCATTCTTCACATCCAGCTTTAGTTGAGGAGTCCTGGTTGGCAAGCAGGAGAAGAGAGGAAGGCAGTGAGGTAGAAAAAGCTGCCAACCTTAGTGGAAGAAAAGCAGAGACTCTGTGGGTATGGGCCGAAGGCAAGGCATTGGTTCTGGCATAATGCGGAACCTCCCACCAGTGTGTGGGTGTTGGGCCCAATATTTCCCACCCCCTCAGCTTTCCACATCTAATGATCCTGATTAGGGAACAAGCTTGGTTTGTGGGCCAACACTCTAGGCTGAAATATACCTCAGAGGCTACCTGGTCCAACTTCCCTCTTAATCTGGTGTTAGGATCACCTCTACAGCATTTTTTGCTGGGTGTGCCCAGAAATTTCTTGGAACAGGACATATCTTTTTCAAAGAAAGTCAGTTCCTTTTTGGAAGAGGGCACAGGCAATAACTGTTAAGTAAGTAACTTTGATGTGCTAGACTGAGGTACTGTGCAGAAATTTAATTTATAACAATTTCACAGAGATCTTGCCATGAATTCGTCTCATTTTGCAGATGAAAAAAATGAGGCTCAGAGAGTTGGTGTCCCTAGCTCATGGTCACACAGGTAATAAATAAAATACCTGGGGGAGGGGGTTGAACCCAGAACTTACTGATTCTGAAGTTCCTCTAGGACCAAGCAGGACACGCCACTTCTTTTTCCTTAACAAGCCTTCTGAGGTCGAAGTCAGAGATCACATCTTCCCAAGTCTTCTCATCTTTATATAAAGCAGTCCCTGATCCTTCAACTCTGTGTTTTGAAGTAAATTCCAGTCTCCTCCCCAGCCTGGTCAATGTTGAGACCCAGAACCAAATATAAAACACAATCAGCTAGGTGACTTTGAATCAGTACAGTATAAAGAAGAACCATCACATTTCTCTTGAGAATTATCTCTATTGATGAGATATTCTAGAAGAAGTGTTGTGAACTATCCTTTCCTTGGTCCTCTGCCTTTTATGGACCAAGGTTTTGCCTCTATCTCCACCATTCTCCCCAGTCTCAACATTCTAAGTTTTGAGCAAGAAAGAGATAGAAGTAAGAAAAAGAGGCAATCAGAACCAAGGCAGGATCACAAAAAAATTGGATGGAGAGCTGTGGGGAGAAACCACAACGATCTAGTAATGAAGGGTTTTTCCAGTAACACTACAAAGAGTCAGGAGGCCTATAGTGAGGGTGAAATTTGGAGATGTGATCTAAATAATAAAGGAGGAGATGGGTATGGATGGTCCAGGGTTTGGGAGAAGCTAGGGTGGAGATGGGTATCAGGTCTGCCTAAGTTAATATTGCCTTGTTGTGCAAGAGGAAATCAGTCACACATTAAGGAAATTTTGCGGCTAGTACTAAATTAGGAGGTGGCAAAGACAGCAGTGAGGACAGGTATGATTTGTGAGGCCCCAAACAGGTATAGAGATATCAAAGGAAGAGAGCGGGGGCTTGGGGGCTGCCAAAGAAGGATGTTATTACAGGATAGGTATCGGGGGAATGGGAATCAACTGTTCCTGGCATAGAAGCATTGGTCTAGGTTTCCAGAAATAGATAAAAAGCTCCTTATCCTGATTGTGGCTGTGGGCTCTCCATGCAGGAGTTCTGAGGATCCATTTCCAAAGTATTCTACTTAGGATAGATGTTGAATAGGAGGGCTTGGAGCTTAGAAGCAGTCTCAAGGGTGAACAAAGAAGGCTACAGAGCCTGGAATGATAGATAAGGGATGGAAGAAACAGAAGAGAGTAGGACTGTCTTTTCTCATACTGACCTGAAATACAGCTGAATTTGAGAGCCCAAAGGTTCTGAGCCTCAACTGTAGGAGAGAGTACTGAAAAAAAAAATGAAAAATACAAAGACAGCAGTGGAGCTGGCACTTCTGGCACAAAATAGCAAAAAAGCATATGGTGTTCTCTTGAGAAACAATAAGAGACAGTAGAGAGAAAGGCTCACTCTGGTCATTAAGAACTTGATGTGATGCCATGCCAAAAGCATGAGCTAGCACCAGAACACATGGGTTTGAGCTAAGTGACCTTGAGGAAAATAAGGCTTTCTGTACATTAGTTTCCTCATCTGTAAAACTGGGATGGTGATGTTAATGTTACCAAGGCCTGGAATATTTATGATCTCAAAATATATATGAAAGGAAGGGGAGCTCTGGTGGCCTAGTGGCAAGAAACTAGGATTGCACTGCAATCCCAGAGGTATGTGGTTCGAATCCACCAGATGCTCTGCTGGAGAAGTAAGGGCAATCTCCTCCTGTACCAGTCAGATCTGATTTGACGGTACACACACACAAAAAAAAAATTATATATATATATATATATATATATATATGGAGTTGCAAGCCATAAAAATATTTTAGCAATATATAGTGCTATTTATTACAAAATAACATGTTTGAATCGCAGAAGACCCAAGGTATGGGCAAAGCAAAGATAATTATCCATGTTTTACAAATGAGGAGACAAAAGTATAGAGAAATGAAGTGCCTCTCCCAAGGTCACTCTGCTAACAAGTATTAGTAGCTGTTATTGTGTGCCATGGAGTTGAAATCAACTCATAGCTGACCCTCCATCAGGTTTTCAGAGTCAGTAAATCACACAGGAGGAGACTGTCGATGTTTCTCCCACAGACTAGCTGGTGGATTCGAACCACGTGCCTTTGGGATTGTAGCACAGCTTCTTACCACTAGACTACTGTAGACTATGAGGTCACAAGTCACAAACTGCTTAGTAGGAACAATCTATATGAAGTATCAGAGCTAGGAGCTGATCATTACATAGAGTAAACTCCATGAAAAAGTTATTGTGTGATCTCTCATTCATCCTGGTGATTGAGAAATCCAGTCAGTTTCATGAAGTTGGAGAAAAGGTCAGAAAAGCCAGACATTTTTTGTGACATCTGCTAGTGGATTTTCCCCCCTCTGCTATCACTGGATATATGTGTTTGGGGCTGACATAGTGTGTAACTCTATCTCTATATAACAAAATGTTATATCTTTCTTTGTGTGATTGTTTTCTGTCTGTGTGTCTGTGACATCATGAGAAAGTATACATATATGTATACACAAATGTCTGTCTTTATGACACTGTTTGTGGATATGATGACCTCTCTGTATCTCTATGGGACTTTGCCCAAGGGAAGTAGAAATGCATGTGTGTCTGTGTGTGTACACCTTTAAGAAATGAAATGTCTCATTTGATAGTGTGAGGGAGGCAGTTAGTCAGCTGAGGCTGAGAGAGGAGGGAGGGAGACTGCTAGGTTATGAGAACAGGAAAAGAAGGAGGATCTCTAGGATCTCATCAAGAGTATGCACGTCTTACAGGAGAAGCCCAAACTGTGCAGGATAGCAAGGGACATTTTCTTCTCCTTCCTAAAGCTTTGTAAGGAGATGAGCTAGATTAGGAGGTAGTTGTCTTTTCCTCCAGTTCTTAGCCCCCTGCTACAAGATACGTAAGGCCATTGCTCCACTTGGTCAAGTTGTTACTTAACCTTTTGACCTTGCTGTTCCCTTCCACCAAAGGCAGGTCACATAGCCCTGGTGGGTGAACAAGGACAGTAGTATCACATCCCAAATTACCCTAGTCCCCATCTACCTCCTGTCTAGAATGACACACTAAGGATCAGGAAGTAGTTTTTCAAAAGTCAGTCCTACTCCAGACAGGCCATTCTGCAGTTGCCTCACCTCTCCTATGGATATGCCTCTCCCCAGCAGCTAGAAAGCTTTTTCTCCAATGCCACCCCAAGGCACTGGGAAGACAAGAGGGAGGGAGAGTTGTAATGTGCTTTCCCATGAACCACACACTGTGTCCTGTCCCTAGCTTCTTTCTCCAGAGGATCCTGTGAATTACCTCCTAGGGAGGAGAAAGACATTACCAGGCCCTACTTGCCTGTGTGCTGGTCAGTCAGTCTCAGGTTGTAAAAGTAAAAATGTGGTGTTCCTCACCACCAAGATTACCCTCTCACCCTTCATTGGCAGGGGCCAATTTAGTTTTAGGCTGTCAATTATTCTCTCCTCCACTGGCCTTCTCCCTGTACCAACCAATTTCTAAATCTCTATAGGCCTCCCGGTTCCAGACTGGAGAGTATCTACCTTTTTACCCCTTTGACAGCCAAGGACCCCAAATCTCTGCCCACCTCACATAGGGAGGCGAGGTGCTAAGAAGGCCAGTTTCCAAGACGTCCAAACCTGGAAGTAATAGAAGTTAGACCTGAATCCCTGAGGTCCCTTTTCTGGGGAGGGTTTCCTGGGTGGCACTCACAGCGTTGCGCCAAGAACTGCAGGGGTAAGGGTGGGGACGGTAGGGAGAGAAGCCACTTTTTCCTCTGCCAACCCCACTGTCATTGCTGCCATTGCAGAGGCAGTCGCTATTGTTGTGGATGCAAGTCCCTACCTTACAACCTTTTGTGCAGGACCGAATTGAGTACTCTTTTGCTTGTAAGTATTTATGCAGCATGAGGTCGAACTCGTCATATTTTTCCTGAGCATGTCGGTCAAGCCGCTGATATGCCTCAATACAGTTGCTACAGGCCTCCCAGGCTCCAGAGTCAGGACTGGCAACCACAGCCAGCAGGTCCCCTAATAGGGTGTCCAGGCTGCAGTCCAGACTATCTGGGCGGTCCATGCCCAGCAGCAAGTCCCAGACGGAGTAGGTGTCACAAAAGGAGAGAGTGAAGTTCCGAAAGTGGCCTTTGAGCAAGTTTTTTTGGGCAGAAGGGAACTCAGCTGGGACATAGGAAGGAGAGTTGAGGGGCCATAGAGGGGTGGCTAGTGTGGTCAGATCGAAAAGTTTCTGTAAAGATTCCAATTTGGTGCAGGTTGCTTCCAGCCCTAGGGGCTCAGAGATGCTGCCGCAGTCCAGCCCTCTGCCAGCGGCTGCTAGGGCAGCTTTGGTCATGTTGCTGTATCTGGAACCGCAGGTATCCAGGAGTGTGCTGGGCTTGTCAGGTAGCTGTGGAGATGGTGGTGGCGGCAGCAAAGGCAGCACAGTGCGAGGAGGCACTGGCTCAAACTCACGGCGGGTTCCCCAGGGTAGCCGCATGGCGCTGCTCAGCTCTCTGGCTCTGGGTCGGGCCCCTGCACACAACCACAAATGGTCAGCAAGCAGCACAGTGAAGAAAAGCAGGGAGGCTAAGGACAGTCGCCATCGCTGCGCCCGTTCAGAATCAGCGCAAGGTTTGTCATTTTGCCGAGGAGCCCAGCAACAACAGCAGCAGCAGATAGTCAGAGTGACAGCGTCTTTCTCAGGCCACATCCAAGTGCCCCTGAACATATTTCAGAGGGATCCAGCTGAAGGAGCAGGCAGATGAGAGACCAGATGGCCTCTTGTTGTTTGGCACTTCTCGGCCTCGTCCAGGCTCTACCTCAGGATGCACATGGTGAAAGAGGCTGGCCAGCCCAGATTGTATTCAGGCTGGAGTCGCAGGGCCCTCTGCCCTTTCCTGAACTCCCCTCACTCGCAGCCCTGGTACTGTTGCTGGGTCCACTAGGCACTGCTGGATATCCCAGCAAGTGACTCTGCGAGGCACTGGGGCGGTAGCGGCTGAGGTGAAGCACACATAGTGTTGGGCCCCTCTTGACTCCTTGTCATTCCACTCTGCACAGACAGCTGCCCAGCTTACACTTTGTTTCTGCTTTCCTGGCTTACAGTGCTGTTAGGCACCCCTCAGCTCTGCCATTCGGGCTAGGCCTCAGAGCTCAGCTGCACTCACTCACTCCCTTAGCGTGTCTCCCCTCCTGCCTGTCCGCCTGCCTGCCGCCTGCTCCGCGATGCTCCCTGCCTCGTTCGCGCCCTCCTAGGCCAGTTCGCGGGTTTGCTGCCCAGACCCTAGGGGGTTCATGCTCCGTCGAGGTACTGGGACCAGTCCTGGATAAGCTCTGCTCCTCTGCTCTCTCTCCACTGGCTGCTCTGAGAATTCCGGTTTCAGTGGGCCACCTGGCTCCAAGCAGCACTACAGGCTATGGATGTGGACGCAAGGTTTCTCTTTCGCTTCCGCTTCTCTTTCGTACTGCTGTGACAGCCGCTGAAAGGCACCGACCAGTGGCTTCTGCTGGCCATGCCCCCATCAGTCTGTCGCCATCTTCCACTGTGCAGAAGACACCTTGAGAGCCAGTGGGCAAGTGTTCAGGCGGAGCAGGGCGGAGAAAGAAGCCCTAGGAGGAGGCGGGAGCAAGACTGGGGCCTCAACTGCGCCTGCGCCTTAAGACTTCCCCGTTCTGTTCCTTTCTCTTCCTCTCCTCCCTCCCCTCATCGCCCCATTTCCCCTCATTGTAGTGTGGGAATGTTTTTGGTCCACCCTCAATTCCATTCACATCGGGGCCTCCGTTCATCCACTTGCGTACACATTGCCCTCAATCCTATGCTGCTCCTCCTCTGCGAATCAAACCACCCTCCTGAAGGCAAACCTTCAATCCTGTCAATGGCTAGAGGGTTTATGAAGATGATACTAGGAGGCCGGTGGCAACTCCATAGTCTCTCTGCCTCTCTGGACTATCTTTCTAGTGACTGAGCTTTTGGAGCTAGCGGCTGATTCTATATTTCTAACTAAGATTGATGTTGCCTTCACTGTCCCGTCAGAAGCTAAGGCATTGGTGTTGAAGGACAGCTACTGCTGAACTGCAAAAGAGCTCTGAGTATGAGGAGTTCCCTGGAAGGTGCAAGACAGGGCACTAAAATGGGAGGTAGTGAGTGATGTGGTGCTGTTTCTGTCTTTGATAAGATATTCAGTAGCCTACCCCTTTTTCAGTGGAAGGAGTGGCGTCCACTTCCATAATAGCTTGCCTTCGGAAACCCTATGAACTTGGAGAGAGGATGAAAGGCACCCAAGCGTCAAGGACTCTCCTTCATAGGGTCGCTATGAGTCGCCTGCGACTCGACAGCACTTAACAACAACAACCCCTTTTTCAACATTTTAGCTTTTTGGCTCCCCCTACAGGCTGCTATGCATAGCAGAGAGCGTAGAAGAAACTATGTGCTGCCTAGGTGGAACCAAGTGCTTGGGGCCCTCCTGGAGTCACATGGTACTAGAAACTCAAAAGTAAAAACATCCTTCCTTGCCACTTACCTTGTCTGGACGCCTCCAAATTAACATCTTGTTATCTACTTACTTTTTTCATTCCTCTTTCCAGAAACTCCTACTTTATAATATTTAACCAATCATTGACAAGGGTTTGTTAATATTAAAAATAATGACAATAATAAAAAATTGATAGATTTAAATTGTAGTATTGGTGATGAATATTGAATATATATAATGGACTGTAGAAAGAAAACAAAACTGCCTTGGAAAAAGTGAAGGTAGAATACTTCTTAGAAGTAATGACGGTGAGACTTCATCTCACATACTGTGGGCATTTTATCAGAAGGAGCCAGTTTCAGGAGAAAGATCTATTTAGTAAAGCAGAAACCCAGTGAAAAAGAGGAAGGTCCTCAGTGAACCACACAATGGCTGCCAACAGTGGAGTCAAGGACACATTGTGAAGGCTATGCAGGATTGATTGTGAGGATTGCATAGTACTAGGTAGTGTTTCTTCCAGTTTCATATACTGTCACTGTTAGAATCAACTCAATGTTATCTAAGGGGAAAAAAATAGAAATTTGCCTTTACTAAGTGTCTAGACACATGCATTTTCTAATTTAGCCTTCACAGTAATTTTATGAGATAGTTATTACTGTTACATCTATTTACACATTAGGAAGCTGAGATTTAGAGTGTTTTACATTACCTAAGGGCTAATAGTAGGTGGAGTCAGGATAGAAACCCAAGTAGTCTGTCTCCAAATAGTTAGCTTTCCTAATTCTCCAATAAAACCCTAGAGAGGCGGAAGAGTAGAAGATATAGTTCAACTTTACAATAACTTGCAATCTACATTAGGAAAAGGCTGTTGGGTCAAGTATGACTCATTGTGACCCTATGGACAACAAATTTGAGCCCTGTACTAACTTGTGTCATACTCATCATCTCTGATACATTTAGGCTACAATCACTGTCAACTAATCTCGTAAGGGTGGGTCTTCCTCTCTTTCAACAACTCTCCACTTTTCTAATCGTGATGTCTCTATGCAAGGAATAGACGTTTCTAGCAACACCCCCAAGTATGGGAGAAAAATATTTTGTCCTTCTTGCCTCCAAGGAGCATTCTGGCTACATTTTCTCCAAGACCTATATGTTTATTTGTTCTTTAGCACCATAGCTCAAAGGCATAGATTCTTTTTCTGGCATCCTTATTCATTGTCCAGTTTTCAGATGCAAAGCAAGTAATTGAAAAGACCATGGCCTGAATCAGGCACACCTTAATCTTCAGATAACATCATTGCTCCTCAATGCTTTGGAGAGATCCCTGACAGCAGACTTTCCAACACAATAGATCTCCTGACTTCTGGTGCCAATGGTGTGCAACTTGAATGTCTCCCTTTATTACCATTCGTTCTTGATCATATGACATTTCTTAAAATGGTTCTTTAGCATTCTTTTTGATACAGTAACTTTATTCCCTCCATCTTCTTTTTAATTGTTTTATTTTATCCTGCTTGTGACTGTTAACAGCTTCAATTTTATTGGTTTCACAATCAACACTCTTGGTACCAGCAGCCAAAAATTAAAAGACAAATTGCATTGGGAATGTCTACTGACAGAGACCTCTCCAAAGAACTGAAGAGCAACAATGTCAGTCTGGAGACTCAGATGTGCCTGATTCAGGCCGTGGTCTTTGCAACTACTTGTTATGTGACAGAAAGCTGGACACTGACTAGAGATGATAGAAGGAGAACTGACACATTTGAGCTGTAGTGCTGGAGAAGAATATTGAATATACTATGGAAGACTAGGAGGACAAACAGGTTTATCCCAGAGAGGGTGAGACCAGGCTGCTCCTTGGAGGCAAAAATTCTGAGGCTTTGTCTGACATACTTTGGACATGTTGCAAAGAGGGACCAGTACTTAGAGAGGAACATCATGCTTGGGAAGGTGGAGGGACAGCACAAGAGAGGAAGACCTTCGATGAGATGGATTGATTCAGTGACTAGGGTAATTGGGGTAGATATGTCAGAGACAATAAGATTGGCACAGGATAGAGCAGAGTATAAGGCTGCTGTACATTGGGTCGCTATGAGTTACACGCAACTCGATGGCACATAGAACAAGTTCTTTACTTACAAAGTTTGTATACATTGTTTTTCACACCAGATCTTTCTCCTATTCTTTATCCACCCCTCCCTCCACCCATCAAATTGTGTGACCCTACAGTGACAAAGAGAACACAGACCTGGAGCTAAGAAAAACAGTACCCATCATAATAGCTAAGCACAAGATTAAATACTTGGGAGTAAATCTAAATAGAAACACAACAGACTTATTCAAAGAAAATGATAAACTATTACTACAAGAAACAAAGAGAGACCTAGAGAAATGGAAGAATATACAATGCTTATGGATACGAAGACTCAATGTTGTGGAAATGACAGTTCTACCAAAGGCAATCCAGAAGTTCAAATGTAATCCCAATATAAATATAAATTTCATTCTTCAAAGAGATGGAAAAGGTATTTTCAATTTTAGCTGGAATGGGAAGAGACCGTGAATCAACAAAGCACTCTGGAAAAAAAGAGAAGCAAGGTAGGAAGCCTCTCACTCCAAGTGGCCAAGACAGTGTGATGTTGGTACAATGACAGACAAGTAGATCAATGGAATAGAATTGATAACCCAGAAATTAGCTCATCTACCTATGACCTCAGCAAGTTGTGCCAAGAAATCTGGAGAACAACCACTTGGCCAACTGACTGGAAGAGATCTATATTTGTTCCCATTCCAAAGAAGGGTGACCC